GCTCTGATAACGCCACGAAATCGGCCTACACACGCGCGAGTGTACACGATAAAACCGACTTCGCCGCAATGGCTAGCGTACAAGATGCTCCCGTATGCACAATGATATTATCTCTGTCTCTTTATAGTGATTCCAACACGCTGTGATGCATTTAATTGTGACGTTAGAAATTGGTGCTACGATTCGTCGCCTTGGGGACACCCAACGCGAGAACTGGTGCTCCCATCTCCCCTGTGGAAACCGTAGTTCAGACGAGAAGAAGGAAAGCGAGGGATCAAAAAAGATAGCTGAAGGAAGCGAACGAAAGAGGCAAGGAAGAGAAGAGAGAAAGAAACGAATGAGAAATCCGAAACGTTATAGTATATATATATATATATATATATTTATATGATACGATATATATAATATAACACAGCTGGTACGAACATATCGCATTGGAAGCATCTTGAGGTTCTCCGAGTCGTGTGAGAGTTGCGAGCGTCTTCGAAGGCCCGTTGGCCTCCGACACGTTGTAATCTTTTTAGTATTAGGTACTCGTTAATTTATTCTGTATATACACACGTACATACACGGACACACGACATACACACACGTACAAGTGACACGCGTACACCGAGAAAACCGGGGGAAAAACCATGAAAACAGAAAAAAGTGTATATTAGTTAAGGGCAAAGTATGCTTTAATCGTGAAAACGGTCGTGGCACCAATACGGTCGCCACGGCCACCGACGGTAGGGTTCACGCGAGTGCTCGCTCGTGGACGGGATAAAAAGGGAAGCTAACGAAAAGAAGAAGACAAAAAAAACGGATTCTTTGCCATAAAGAGACCGCGAACTGTGTCTCTGCCATAGGCTACCGTCTCGTTCGAGGAACGGCCTTCGAGAACGGGACTTGCGATGATCGTGGCGGGCTCCGTACGCCGGCGCCGATATGCTTTTTACGTTTCAAAGCGAAATTGTATCGTATGTAGCGACCAGACGAATCTGTTTTGCTGTTCCCGGGAAAGGAAGAAGAAAGGGGGAACGTTTCTTCTCCTATAACGTTGTCGCGGCGGCTCGCGAAAGTGTTCGCGGCGACGTCGGTCGGCCGTGCGTTTGGCTTTGCAATTTGTATACCGGTTTTAGTAGCGGTCGTTGTTGACCGATCATCGAGTCGCTCAGAGGTTAATGCGGTTGAGTCTAGAAACAATTGAGAACATTCAGGTTTTGGCTGATGATAAGACTATGATATATTCAGAAGCTATACAGAGGGCTTTCTGACTTAGAATAAACGAAGGAGAGTAAATTCTTGAATAGTAACTAATGCTTTCACGGTTTGGAATATTATATTGAAAAGTGGCTTTCGGGTGAGAGCTGTCTTTATATAGGTATCTAGTTCGTGTTCCGGATCAGTAATCGCCTGTAGTTTGTAATTGTTCAGATGACCAACTGACTAATTACAAACTGCCGGTGATCAGTGATCCGGAACGCGAACTAGAATGTAAAGTCCTTGAATAACTAAACAGAATATTATTAAAATTGACAACAATCGCAGAATATTAAAGAATAGATAACTGTATTGGTTCCTGAGCGACTCGGTTTACATTAGTAATTTTAATCACTGTAACATAACTTTCGAATGGGTCTTTGGAATCGTTTCCATGGTGCGATAGAGGGGAGCGAGATGAAATCGCGACGCGACTTTAGTTTATATTTAACGATTCGTGTAATTTCCGATTGCAACGAACGGCTCGAACACTTTCCCGGCCCGCCGCGCGTTCGCTGTGTGTTTTAACAGTAAGGGTAGACGATAAGGAATGCTTAGAGAAAAACTGGCTTTAGCAAAGTAAGGCACGATTTGAAGATTCCATCATCGTTTTTTCCTTTTTTTTCTCTCTCTCGTTTTTAAGTTCTCCGCCGACGAGACGGGAATCTCTTGTTTTCGCGGAGATTCGAGTCGCGCGTGGAGGTTCGGCTTGTTTTACGCATCGTTCGGTTTTCGAATATGGCCTCTGCCGAGCCACGTTTTATCACGAAACGACCGCCTCGAGTGTAATCTTACCACGTTCACTGTCAGAATCACGAGACGTCTAGACGCGCAACCGATCTTCGATGGGGGACGTCGCCCGCTAGAAATAATCTTTCGTCCACGGAGATGTGAAGACAATACGCGCCGGTTTAGCGTTACACGCGCGCTTCGCGATTTTTCATCGACGAATCGAGCGGCTCAGATACAACGAAAACGCGTGAAATTTCAAGTAATTCGTAATGTTCGAAACATGTCCGACTTCGACAATTTTCTACCGCTCTAAACAATATAATTAATGACGCGTCATTCGACTGGAAAGTCTCTAAATTCACGATCTAAAGCTACGATCGAACTGCAACTAGAAATTCAACGTTCCGGCATTGCCAATACGTTTCACAGCTCCGTAGGTCGAGGAGGATCGCTCGTTGCTCGCCGCAACACGCGGGACAGTGAACGCGTTAAACGGACCCGTCGACTTAAACGCTGTAAGCAGCCGCGGGATCGCTCGTCGTTTAACAGCCGTCGTTAAGGTTTAGCTCTGCTTAAGTATAGTCGATGGAGAAGATCCAGGTACCTCGTAGCATTAGCGCACCTTTGAACCGACACCGGTGTCCGATTTTAAGGGCACCGATCCTTACAGCGAGAACCAACGGAAACCGGACTCTCTCCAGGCGACAGAAACGAAAGAAAACGGTTTCCACGGTCCTGGACTATAGCTCAAAGACTTTTCGCGTCTCAGGATTGAGCGAATGTATCGTTAGGAACTGTAAAAGACAGTCGTATAAGGAAAAGGGAAATTGTACGAGTTCTCTGTGTCGTGTTCATCAATTGTATGATGGACAGTCGATGTGGATCGTCGATGATCATTGGTCTGGGGTGAAGCTTCCCTCGAGCGGGCAATGCACAGGGTGTCTCTGAAACTACGGTGCGATTGGGAACAGGTGACTCCACATAGTCGTTGCCAAGGTCTAGATACCAAAGTCGGATATAAACTATTCCAATTAACAGACATATGATATAATGATTGGTACTTGTCATAGCTCTAGCAATGTCAATCGCTAGCAATTCTCAATAGTGTTCTGCCTTAACCCTTTGCGGTCCGAATCTTGGTTTCTCACTTTGAGGTTCACGTCAACGTTAGTTCATTCAATTACTTAATACGACGCTCTATTTATTCAAGAATATCCGGGAGGCATTGAAATGCTACCCTTAACACGTTAAGCGCCACGAAAATCCTAATCGTTTTCCCATAGAGTTTGTCTTCTGTAGCAAAGAAAAGTAGGAATACTTAAGAATTGTTTGGCGTTGCAACGTTTGCGTTACACTATTATCAACTTAGTTGTCTTATTAAACATTTTTCACATCGGTTGTCTTGTATGTTACGATTGTTTTTTGGTCATTCAGAAGCGTCAGTCACCAGTGGCTGACATGGCGCTTAACGCGTTAAATGGTACAATTGTGATGCAAATAAATATAGAAAAAATTGTTAAAACAGGCAGAGGTTGCGATAAAATAGAACGTCGAGTCTGACTCGACACAGGACTGCCAAGGGGGTTGAAACCTTAATTCTATATCCTGGCTACAAGTCGAAAGGAAACCGAATAAAATGACCTTGTCTACCCAATCGCACCGTAAATTTCAGAACACCTCGCGCACGTCCGCTCGGTTAGGTGATTGTTTCTGTTTTGGTTCGAAGCGCGTGGACGTCCATCGTCGTCTTAGAATTAGCTCGGACCAGCGTGCGTATGGTCGTGCGCGCAGTGCACTCTGCGAGGCGACACAGACGAGGGATCGACGCTTTGTTGAGCATTGTTTCGTTACGTTTTCGTGGGTTGTGATTCTATATACATATATGGGAGTAAATGTATTCGTTGGCGACTTATTACCGGGCTGCGAACTCGGCGCGTTCACGGCGGCCACGGTCCTCGTTTGTCGAGCCATCTCCAAGAGATACGCGAGTTTTCCCCGTGAACGCGCGCGCGACATTCGCAGTCTATTTATTATCGTTGAGACACGTGTGCGTGGTGTTTGTTTCTATAACCGGGGAACGCGGAGGAAGGTTAACGAGTTGCCGAATTCGATCGCTGGCGCCGAGCGTTGTCGCGTCTCTCGTTTTCGGCGACGCAACGAACGAATCGCGGTCGAACAGAGTTTCCTTCGGCCGCGGGCGATCGCGACACGCTTACGAACCGCCCGGAACACGCTCGTTCCTCGCCAGCCATCCTCTCCCGGGCCCCGGTTCTCTCGTTAACCGGAAGCGAGGATGACCGACCGAATTNNNTGATAAGCGAACTGGATGTTCTCCGTGAGAATGTTTATCAGCGAACTCGACGAACGTTTGATAATTATATTACACACACGCTCTCCACGTGAAATACAGTTTCGTTTCTTTATTATACGGCACGCTTTGTCTTGTTATTCGGCCACCCAGAACACCTCTCGCGGACGGACTACATGGTACCGCTGCGAGCGTGTCTCCTTTTTGTACTCTTTCTTTCGTAGGGTAAAAAGTTTAATGACTCGGCCGCGGACGAGACGCGAGCGGAAATTGTTTCTCTTCGTCCGAGGATTCGCCAGGAACTCGGGGATCGTTTTACCTTCGACCGATTCCCCGTCAGGGGAATAATGGAATGTTTAACGACACATCGAGTAACGGTAACGGAATGGCGAAGCTCGTCTCTCCCCGTCGCGTCTCATCCCCCGAGTGCACGCACTCGTGAATCTTGGAAATCTTCATTTGCATATCGCAACACAGTGGCTTCGATCAGAACCTGTTCCCCATCGAAGGGAACGAAAAATGAAAATCAGAAAAAGCATTCTCAATTTCAAGGTAAAGCGGCGCACGCTCTGAAATATTCCGGAGACGCCGAACGAGATGAACTTGCTGAACTGCTGGTCAAACTTTTACCTATTAACGCTTTACCCACCTATCGATAGATTCAATGTCTATGTTACATAGAAAATCAAATAATTTCATTTTGTCATGTCTGATGCCAACAATCAATGAATGCATCCTTAACACTAGGTTTACGGAACGCGTCAATTTGACGCAGATTGAATTTTATAAACATTATTTGGTAAATATTTCAATCGGTTTTCGTTGATCCAATTACACGAATATGAATCCTGATTGTCTATTTCTACATCTACAATTTCCAAAATCTAAATCAACGAATATCAACTTCCCCAGGAACAATAGAATAAACTGTACAATAAATGCACGTAAACCTAGTGTTAATCCTTAACACTAGAACTACCAGGTGGCTCAAAATGTCCTAATCTCTTCTACAATTATTACAAAGACACACTTTAAAAAATGATCAAAGAATTTGATTTAGTAACACCTAAACTAAAGTATAAACTAATTGAAATCTGAATGAATTTCAGCATTTATAAATTTGAAAGGTACAGTTTAAATGCTCGGTAGTTCTAGCGTTAATTTTGGAATGTTTAACTATATTATTGAACAAATGGTAGGTGAAGCGTTAACACATTGAGCGCCGGCCCCGCGATAATGCGGGATTTTTAGTCTATTAATTGCTAATCCTACGTTCATAACATTTTAGATACTTATAACACAAATCCAAAGTAAAATTTACAAAATCAAATTCCTTACTCTTCCGTAAGTCAGAAATTTTGGTTTAATCGTTTAAAAATGTATCGATATAATGACCAACGCTCCCCTTTCTAGTAGCTAAAATTCAGCCGGCGTTCAATGTGTTAAGTCGAAACGAGAATCTATCCCACGCGTTTCACTGTAGAATATTAAAGTTTCATTCGCTTGAACTTCTAGGGGTGGATATGAAACGTCCGTCGCTTGTTCGGATCGGCTGCTTGTTTGCGCCGGGTCCAAGGGCACGGTTGAAAAGCCATCGCTACCGTAGATCAACGAAGCCGCATTTGGAGACCGCGAGTCCCACTGGTGGGGAGGAGCGATTACGTATGCCTCGTGTGCGGATCAACATCCCACGGAGAGTTTCTCAGTAAGAAACGCGGCGGCCGAACGACGAGAACGATGGGGCTCCTCGGCTTCTCCTTCTTCTTGTTATTCGCGTTGTGCACGTTCCTCCGCGACGCGACCGCCGGCAGCAACGACACCGTGATCAACGAGATCCCCATCGACGAGCCGGCGGACGCAACGCGACATGCGGAGCCGGAGACGCCAATGACGAACAGGACTCTTCACGAGATCTTCCGTGACGCTGTCCAGGCTTACCTCGAGGAGGACTGGGACGGCTGCATCGAGGACTTCAACGAAGTCAGCCACGGGTACGCCTGGAATCGAAATTAAAATTAGAAACCGAGTCACGGTGACCTTCCTGGAGAACCGTTCACCTCCCACGTATATTTTTCCATAGGAACGATAACTTGCAAAAGGGGCTTTGAGGCTGTTGCATATTTAACCCTTTGCACTCGACATTTTCCATTGCGAATATTCATTAGTTTCTGAGTAAATGTTAACGATATTTTTCGCAACTAACGCGATTGCTTACCTTATATGAATTAACCCTCTGTAGGCCCGTGTAACTTTGAAGTCACGTATCAGTATATTGGCATCTTGTTGATTTATCTCATTTTGCACTCGAAGTGGCGAATAAAATTAAGTAATCAGTTAAACTTTTATACGCTCAGGCGTGAAAGTTTAACGTCATTGGAACTTGAAAGTTACAAAATGTATTCGTTTGATGAAATTATTGAAATTATTGGATACATTAATTCGTATTCATATGTGGATACTTATTAATTTTGTACTGCATAGATTTTGTTATAATCGTGAACAAAAATTCGGCCCATAGATACGTTGCACACGGTTTAATATTGAATTGAAAATTTTATAAGCCTGCTGCGTCGAATCAGGTGACTGAAAGGCGCCTCGAGTGCAAAGGGTTAAGATGGGCAGGATACCTTTCAGTATTGGACAACATCCTTTGAATTCGGTGTCTATAGTAAATATCCTGGAATGTTTAACTTCCTGACGTAGCGTGTCTAAAAAGAAATTAAAATTTAGTAACTTGTGTTTTACATTGTAACTTGTTCATCTAAATTTGATTGATATTTTTGAATGGACCGTGTGGTTTCCGAGTGTACAGCAGTGTGTCTTTTCAGGTACAAAATGTACAAGCGCATGGTGACGAACTGCAGACAGAAGTGCAGGATGAGAGCTGCCGGGGACGCTCCGATTTTCCCTGAGAACATCGAGGACCTGCACTTCTACGAGAAGAAGCTGGTGGAAACGTTGTGCCTCCTGACTTGCAACCAGGAGTACCGCGAGATCGCCGGCACGCTGACTCTGAAAACACTGCCACGTGAGACCGAGCACAAGCTGATCGACTATCGCGTGTACGAGTACCTGCATATTTGCTATTTCAAGGTAACCGACACTTCTATCGTGCAAATTAATGTTAAATATAAATAGTGTAGAGAAATTAATAATTGCGAGACGTTATTCACAAGATATAATACAAATTTTTCTTAAGATAAAGTATACATCTATTCGGCAATATTTGTTTTATCAAAATTATACTACTCTACATCTATTCAGCAATCTTTGTTTTATCAAAATTATACTATTCTGCATCTATTCGGCAATCTTTGTTTTATCAAAATTATACTACTCTACATTTGTTCAGCAATCTTTGTTTTATCAAAATTAGAGTTATTCAGCAAGGCCCGGAAGAGAAAACTTGAAGAAATTTGAACAATTAATAATTGCGAGACATCATTCACAGAATATAATACAAATTTTTCTTATAAGATAAAGTATACATCTATTCGGCAATATTCGTTTTATCAAAATTAGATAATACTAGAAATTATTCAGCAAGACTCGGAAGAGAAACCTCGAAGAAATTTGAACGATTCGACAGCGTTTAAACCTGAACCGTTCGTTTAACGATTTCCGCAGCGAAATCGTTTTTTGAGACCGCGAATTGGCCGGACGGTCATCAGTTTGTCATAGCGCGAGAATGTCCGACGAATCCTAACTGTGGAGCTTACGCAATCGCGGCTCCGCTGATTCCACGCCCGTAACTTTTTAGTAAATAATGAGTTTAACGTTCCGAACGTGCGGCTCAGCCGTGTACGCGACTTAATATCATTGGTGTGCCGGCGAATCGATGCTGGGACAAGTTAAACACACGCGTCTAGTCGGCGAGGTCTCCCTCGCGGGAATGAGGTCTCGCATTAGCGGCGGAACAATAGAAATATGCTCTCGATATGTCCTTATCATTCGAAGGTTGCCACCGTTGGAAGTAGATTTCCATTATGCGATAATAATATGAATGAAAAAGTATCTTCCCGATCAAACAACTTTCCTTGAAATCATTGGAAGCGATTCATTGATGTATATTTTACATAAAGAGAATGAAATGAACGCTGTAGATACTGTTATTAGAAATTATAAACTACGACGTTACATTTAGAAACTCGATGATTTATTTCAGTTTCATTTTTCTTTTCTTTGGAAGATTCATTGGACCGAAGAAAATATAATTGAGACTGACATAGTGCTGGTAGCGAACGTGTTATCCAGAGATCGGTTAACCCTTTGCACCCGAAAGTTCTTCCCTGGAAATATTCAACATTTTCCGACGAGATATAGACGACATTGTTTGAAACTAATTTAATAATTCATAAATTAAGCAACAAAATTATTTCATTTAAATATTTCACACAGCAATACAAAGTTTCATTTAAAATACTAAATATTCAACTTCATAGTTTCGCTGTATCAAATCAAGTGACTGAGTGTCACCTCTCGAGTGCAAAGGGTTAATATCAATACTAACTATTAGAATACTCGATTCTATGTTTCTATTTGTCTGCCATCGTTTGCAATCTCTTCCTCCGTAATAAATAACAAAAAGGCTTCTGATCCTATCCGTTTCATAGTCCGTTCGCCTTCGTCACAGCCCATCGCCTAAAATAAACGCAAAGATGTACCCTAATACTGTGCACGATTAATGTTACAGAAGGATCGCTACCAAGACGCGGCGAACGCCGTGTTCACGTTTCTGGTCCGACAGCCGGATCACGAAGCGAGCATGAAATCATTGAAATACTATCTAACGCTTCCCGGCGTGACGGAGAAGAACGTGGTAAACCTAGAAGCATGGCCCTATGTCAGCACGTACTTCAAGGCCGTGTTGGCTTACGAGGACGAGAACTACGCGGAGGCGGCCAGCTTTTTCGAGAGTTCATTGGCATCGTACTTGCAGTCCGAGGAGGAGTGCAGGTTCTACTGCGAGGGGCCTTTCAATCAGGGCTGGCACCCGGAGTTCACGTCCTCGATCGCCAGTGAGTCAAATATTCGCAGAGAACAATTTTCCTTTCCGCTGAGCTCGAACATCGATTGGAAGCATTACCACTGATTGTTACCGATCGTAAACTCGAGTTACCGGTGATTGACCCATTCGACAGATTCCATTCGAACGCTTGTAGCGAATAGTTCGTTCCAATCGTGATTAGTCTACGAAATTCTGTCGATACGTGTTTGTTTAATTAACACGTCGAATGCCACACGATTTCATACAGCGAAATACACAAAATGTATAATATTAAGTCATTCGATTGAATTGCATTATTACTGCACGTTCATCTGAATGTCACCGCGTATTATTTATAATATAGAAGTGTCTCTAAAAAATCGTTTCACCGAGTGAGCTATAGTAATTCGATTTGGCTGGAAATCACCGGTGACTCCTATGGCATTCGACGTGTTATTTTGTAAACGCAGAAGAATCCAGTAATCATGACAGAACGAACTAGAGGGAAGTCCTATTGCTGTTTAATTTGAAAATCGTTCCCCATGTTCCAGACCACTTCACATACTGCCTGAAGTGCAAACGGTCCTGCAGCCATCAATTAAACAACGTGAACGGCGACTACCGGAGCGACATGCTCAAGAGCCACTACAACTATCTGCAGTTCTCCTATTACAAACGTAAGCGCGACGCAACCATGGGAACGGCGTTGCTCAATTTTTATCTACGAGGCGTATCCTGCCCTTTGACTATCTGTTTGTGAAAATCCCGTTATCGGCTCGCTGGTCCATTCACGACGATAAACCGAATATACACGCGCGTCGGAATGGCACAGCGAGCTGATAATGGGGTCCGCAACGTACCCGGTAGCTATCGTACGAAATTGCGCGCGCTGCCGCGCGCATTCCCAGCAGCGAGCGAATCGTTGCGGCGACAATCGTTCGGAGCTCCTCAGGAAGCTGTTACTCATGCCTCGAAGGAAGTTTAATTGGATTAATCTTGGCCAACTGGTGGTCGGTCTGATTAGCCAGGCAGCCTCGTTACCCGTGAAATTGTCCCAGACCCCGTGCTCGTTTCCCAGCTGTCCGTTGAATGTCATCTCCGCTGATCTAATCTTGTTCAGCCGGTTAGTCTCGGGGCAAATAGGACCTGCGAAATATCGTTTCGAATTAGAACCGCGCGAAAACACAGCAAATTCTAATTAGCCGCGTTGCGTCAGAGCAAAGAATAAAACTGTAACCGTTTTTCCGCGCAGTGGGGAACTTGAAGGCAGCCTGCGCCGCAGTGGCGAGCTACTTGGTGTTCGATCCTGTCGACGGGACCATGCTGCAGAACAAGAAGTACTACAGCAGCCAACCGATGGTAGAAGAAAGCTACTTCGTACCTAGAGAGGTGATGCCTTTGCAGACATTGTCAGGACCTAGAACCTAAATGGCGTCCGCTTCAGTGATTTCATTGGTTTCCTGTATTCTGGATTTTATTGACACGTTGAATGCCGTGGGGGAATTATTATAATTCAGTCAATTGAACGATCATTATTTGCAAATATTTTTATATTACAAATAATGCTATCTAACTTTGATGTTACATTTTCATTTTGTGCATTTTGCTATGTGAAATCTTGGGGAATTCGACGTGTTAATATTATACAGTGATTTCTTTTGCCTCTGCGTTGAGTAGGACGTGTCAGGTTAATAATTACCAAATGGGAATCTCACTTATTTAATTATCTGAAATGTACTCTCTTCAGGAGGTCCTAAGGTATGTTAAGAGACAAGAATACGAGCTGGGCCTGCTGCGTTACATATCCCACGAGTTCTCAATAATAGACAGGAAGCTAGCGAATTGGAACAAGTCTCAAGAGAAGCCGAGCGACGATAGCAAAGAGAAAGAATCGGAAAAGGTAAAATGATCGTAACGTAAATAGGACTCTAAGCATTCCATGGACTGACGTCTACTATTTTATTTCGACTCGTTACTGTACGCGCGGATTCACGACGCTCGTGTTCCAGGAGAATCTCATTTCCCATGCTCTCTGTATCTTTTGTGCCATACGAATAAAATACTCAAACACGACCGCTATCCCATTATTCTATTCTGTCTTTCCATTGGAACGCTTCTATGCTTCTAAACGTCACGCTGCTCGGTTTCTAAACGGAACGCCTATTAAATGCAACCGAGAAAGCATCGCTGCACTTCCGGCTCGGTAATTCAGGCGTGACGTCTGCCTCTACGAAAATCGATACCTTGAATTAATTAGATGTACTACAATATTCCAAGATTTCATTCGCAAAGTGTACGAGGTTTTAAAAAACGTTCAATCTTTTACAGAGTATAAAGGAAGTCGAAGCCCCGCATCCACCGCCCGGATATTCGTCTCTCTCCAACACGCAGTTGTTCAACAATCGTTCCGCGATTAGAGACGAGAGACCTGAAGCGAGCGATAGGAAACGGCAAAGGGTCAGGGACGATGTCTATCTGATCGCGGAACAGAAAGAACTTGGCGGAAAGAATCGCTACGTTGCTGACGGGTTCCTCAATTCGACGGAGTGTGAATCTCTCATGCGACTGGCGACGGTACGTTGTTGTAGCCCAGTTGTTCGTTTACGTTGGACTGCAGTTGTAAGGATGTTCTCTTAAATGTAGATGACCGCGGTGGAAGGCGATGGCTACAACGAGTACAAGAGCCCACATTCGAGGCACGAGAAGTTCGAGGGAATCACCGTCGGTAGAGTCGCCTTGGTGAGACGTTTACATTCTAGCATCCTTTCTTTTCTTTCATTCGTATCGCATATTTTCTAAAGTTCAGTACACATGTATCGTTTATGCGATTCTGGAAAAATCGATGACGATAACGATGACCGTAGATGGTGTACTTCGGTCGAGTGGAGGCGGAGCGATTGCGGCAGCTCCTCGCGAAAACAGAGGACGCCCGCGGCCACGTGGAAAGGTATTTCGGGCTAGATCGACCGCTCTATATCACCTACACCCACCTGGTCTGCCGCACGGCTCTACCCGGTAATTTTCACCTGATGCATCAGCGTGCTTCTGGTCCCTTTCGCAGCTGAAACCGCGTCGCACCGACTCACTTGGTATGGCACGTGGGTAACAATCGGTGACCAGTCGAATACTCTTGCGAGCCGCGCCATTAATAATGTGAATTCTAATGGGGCAATTAACGTTAGATCTGCTGACAAGTAATCCGCTGTCTGACACACAATTACGTATACAGAGATCACGGTATCTTAGAGATTAAATGGGAATAAGAAAATGATCTTCGACAGCGTGAAACTAGTGGATTACTTGATTAACACTAGAACTGGTAGACTTTCGACGATTTCATTACAAAAACTACAAACGTGGATTCATTAAGACTTGAATTGGTTCAGATTTCAACTTAGGCGTTACTTAATCAGCTTCTTTAGTGATTTCTTAAAGAAATATTCGTACCTCTTCAGTAATCGCAAAAGAAGCAAAGAATGGGTGATTCTAGTGTTAAGGTGTGTCTAACGAAATTCGCATTATTCGTGGAGCGGCTGAACGTTAACACCGCCTTCTCGTGTCTTCGTCTTTCTTCTTCTTCGACCTGAAAGCGCAACGGTTTAGTACATCTTTCTCAGGGTAAATTCTATCTCTAGATTCACCGATGGACCGCGACGATCTCAGTCATCAGGTGCACGCGGATAACTGTATACTGACTGGCGAGGATAACTGTATCCGCGAGAGTCCAGCCTACGTCTGGAGAGACTACTCAGCGATCCTTTACCTGAACGAGGACTTCCAGGGCGGCGAGTTCTTCTTCGCGAAGGAACGCGCCATCCGCGACACCGACAGCCTGGTTTCCCCTCGTTGCGGACGCATGGTAGCGTTCTCCGCGGGAGGAGAGAACCTCCATGGTGTACGGGGTGTCCTCCGAGGCAGGCGTTGCGCGCTGGCTCTGTGGTTCACGCAGGACCAGATGTACACGGAGTACGAGAGGACCTTGGCCGAGGCGATCCTGGAACGAATTCGTTCGATCGGACCTGTCAAGGAAGAGGAGGTCCAGGTACCTTTGAGGTAAATTGTTAGATTAGTCTCCGAGGATTCGATCCTCTAAAAACAAGCTGGTCTGATTTCAACGCACGTACAACGGCTAGGTACGAGGAGCTTCTTCTGCAGTACGCGAGCAGCGACGACTTCCTGAGACGCTTCCTACAGGATTCTTGAAGAGGAATCGTTGCAGAACATCTTCAGTATTCCGTTGACAGTCCCAGAGGACTTGCTATCAGGTCGTTCCATAAGCGATGCCATTCCTCGACGCTAGATTTCGGTGGAGAATATGAATACTTGCGTTTGTTATTTAATGTAAAGGGGTTACTTACGGAACGATCTGATAAAACTGTAACACTACATTCTCCCCGGTCGCTGACCGGGCTCACTGCAAACTAGGTACCTGAGAAGACAATTCACAAACATGAGAAACCATATCGTTTCCTTCGCGCAGTACAATTTTCACTTGTTTTTCCACGTATGTACAATTCCCATTGCATTTAACTCGACGGAAGCTCCCCAGCGAGCATTCCCGGTCGAACTGTCCTCCATGGAGATCTGATAGAGCTTCGAACAACTCTTATTTATATAAAATATCCTAATCTTTATTAGAACATAGACATTACATGTCAACAGGTTTACATAACCATCCTATGTATCGTGTAACATGTATACTGTAATTAATTTATTCTCCTCGGCGTATTTATACTATGTATAAGAGTCGTATATACATATATAATATATATGTATATATGTATATATGCGCGTGTGTATGTATATGTACATGTATACATACATACCGATATATATATATACACGCGCGGCCGCAAGCCGCGTCGCGTTTGAATGTTTCAATACCGTACACACGGTCGTTTATGCTTCTATTCTCGTATCGTGTGTGCGTGTCAGTGTGTCTCGGCGTTACTGGCACCCGGAGGTACCGAAGTGGACATTATTTACGCAGGTACTCGAGTACTCGGACAGACGGTCCAAGACGCGAATTCTCGAATGAAAGTTTCAATGTTACAATGGAAATACAATATAAAAATTGCTCGGATCATTTCGATTATACGGAGTGCATTTCTCTCGGTACTCGAGTACCCGAACGATTAGGCTGCTGCTCGAATACGATCGCGCCAGAGAGCGATCTGGCATCCGCGAACGCATGATGTTTCAATGTAGATGATCAAGTACCCGAGGAAAATTAAAATTACACAAGTACTCGAATACTATCCCAGGCAGAAAATATTCTATCGGACGTGGTTCGTTGAGAACGTTCCCGTCGTCGATAAATACGAATTACAATGATCACTGTCGTCATGCATAAATAAAATATTAATATACAAAGGAACACCTCTACTCTTCTTCTACTTATTGCGTTTTGGATACCGAACACGAATCGAACGAATTGCACGGAGGCTACAGGCGCCGAGGTACAGGCCAATTGATTTACAATTTCGACTAACTATTTTCGAATCATTCGATACAATATAGAAACGACCGACCTCGCAGACTTAAGTCTCGCGTCGCACCTGTAGACGAATTTCTCTAATCTAATAGCCAACGAGTACTCGAGCGTTTCAGGTAATTGTTACATTTTCCCAGGTATCCGGCGAGTACTCTTGTAAAACTAAGGTACCTCGGGTATCCATTTCGAATGAATATGCGCTGGTGTGTACAAAGATTCGCGCGTTCGTTCATGGAAAGCCTAATTACACATTCAACTCGAAATTTCGCGTTAAAGCGGGAAAGCATATTGAGAACTGAGAAACAGCTGGTACAAATGTTACCTAACGATGTTCGCGTCGAACAGTTATTCAACGAATACAGTGAACGAACACGCGAGTCCCTGCGCGCGTGTTCTCCTGTAATGTCGGGTTTCACGTTGTTATTGCAATTGTACACGCGAAAAGCGGATCGAATCGAATCGGATCACGTAAATCGGTCCCCGCGCTCGCTGGCCAGCGCTCGCGGTACGCACGCTCTCGGGACAAACGGGTTTCTCCGGTGAATTAAAAACCACGGGTGGTATCGAGGTGCCATTTCTCTCGTGTCGTGATCACCGCGAGATCAGTCGGGAAGAAAGTGAACGCGATCATTAACATTATTATGTTTCGTTACAAACATTTATTACGAAATTATAGTGACATCTGCGTATCACAGGAGAGCTCAG